AACAATAACTTCCACACTCTCCCCTCCTCCCATCCCATCAATCATCACCAGATCTTCAATAGAGGTAAGTGTCATGTATTCTATTCTTAGTAGAGTAGTAATTTGCATGTCTTCTTCAGTTTGTGTGTATTAAAATTAATATTTCATGTGGTAAAAAAAAATTTTTTTTTTTCATACTTTGGGGTGTCAGGAATGGATTAATTTGATTTCCATTATTTCTTATGGGGAAAATTAATTTGGGTAACGATAATTTCGGCTTATGGTGAGCTCTCAGGAACGGATTAATATCGTAAGGCGGGAGTCCACTGTATTTCTTCAGTCATAGAGTAGTCAGGAAGTGGAATAGTTTAGGAAGCGACGCAGTGGAGGCAGGATCCATTCATAGCTTTAAGCAGAGGTATGATAAAGCTCATGGTTCGGGGAAAGTGACCCAGTAGCGGCCAGTGAAGAGGTGGGGCCAGGAGCTATGACTCGGCCCCTACAACCACAACTATGTGAGTACACCCACACACACACACTCAAACATATACCCACACCCCCCACAAACACACACACAAAGACACCCACACAAACACATCCACACACACACAAACACACCCACACACACACACACACACACACATGAGAAGAGTGGGCGAACACCTAGAAAGGAAAGGGCTCATACATTACAAACAGCATGGCATCAGGGAAAGGAAATCCAGTGTCACAAACCTACTGAGTTGTAAGACATAGTAACAGAAGTAAAACAGGAGAGAGAGGAATAGGTAGACTTCATTTTCTTGGACTGTAAGAAGATTTTTGACACAGTACCACACAAGAGACTGGTTGAAAAGCTAGTGGAGCAGGCAGGAATAGGAGGGAAAGTTCCGCAAAGAATCAGGGAATTACTGACAAGAAGGAAACAAATGATGGTATGTGATGAGGTGTGAAACTGGGTGCATGTGTTGAGTGAGATTCCACAAGGGTCAGCCTTAGGTCCAGTGCTGTTCCTTTTACATAGTATACGTGAGTAAATTTCTTCTTCTTATTCTTTTTAGTAATCTTTACAGGAAAAGGGGTTACTAGCCCATTGTTCCCGGCATTTTAGTTGACTTTTACAACACGCATGGCTTACGGAGGAATGATTCTTATTCCACTTCCCCATGGATATAAAAGGAAAAGTAATAAGACCAAGAACTTCTTTCTTCTTTCAACATACCAGCCGTATCCCACCGAGGCGGGGAGGCCCAAAAGAAAAAACTAAAGTTTCTCTTTTTAAATTTAGTAATATATACAGGAGAAGGGGTTACTAGCCCCTTGCTCCCGGCATTTTAGTCGCCTCTTACAACACGCATGGCTTACGGAGGAAGAATTCTGTTCCACTTCCCCATGGAGGTAAGAGGAAATAAACAAGAACAAGAACTAGAAAGAAAATAGAAGAAAACCCAGAGGGGTATGTGTGTATATATATGCTTGTACATGTATGTGTAGTGTGACCTAAGTGTAAGTAGAAGTAGCAAGACATACCTGTAATCTTGCATATTTATGAGACAGACAAAAGACATCAGCAATCCTACCATCATGTAAAACAATTACAGTCTTTCGTTTTACACTCACTTGGCAGGACGGTAGTACCTCCCTGGGTGGTTGCTGTCTACCAACCTACTACCTAATGATGAGGTTAATCATAGAATTGATGAGGGAAGAAAGGTGAGTGGTGCGTTGGGGTATATGTGGAGTCAAAAAACGTTATCTATGGAGGCAAAGAAGGGAATGTATGAAAGTATAGTATTGCCAACACTCTTATATGGGCGTGAAGCTTGGGTGGTAAATGTAGCAGCAAGGAGATGGTTGGAGGCAGTGGAGATGTCTTGTTTAAAGGCAATGTGTGGTGTAAATATTATGCAGAAAATTCGGAGTGTGGAAATTAGGAAAAGGTGTGGAGTTAATAAAAGTATTAGTCAGAGGGCAGAAGAGGGGTTGTTGAGGTGGTTTGGTCATTTAGAGAGAATGGATCAAAGTAGAATGACATGGAAAGCATATAAATCTATAGGGGAAGGAAGGCGGGGTAGGGGTCGTCCTCGAAAGGGTTGGAGAGAGGGGGTAAAGGAAGTTTTGTGGGCAAGGGGCTTGGACTTCCAGCAAGCGTGCGTGAGCGTGTTAGATAGGAGTGAATGGAGACGAATGGTACTTGGGACCTGATGATCTGTTGGAGTGTGAGCAGGGTAATATTTAGTGAAGGGATTCAGGGAAACCGGTTATTTTCATATAATCGGACTTGAGTCCTGGAAATGGGAAGTACAATGCCTGCACTTTAAAGGAGGGGTTTGGGATATTGGCAGTTTGGAGGGATATGTTGTGTATCTTTATATGTGTATGCTTCTAAACTGTTGTATTCTGAGCACCTCTGCAAAAACAGTGATAATGTGTGAGTGTGGTGAAAGTGTTGAATGATGATGAAAGTATTTTCTTTTTGGGGATTTTCTTTCTTCTTTGGGTCACCCTGCCTCGGTGGGAGACGGCCGACTTGTTGAAAAAAAAAAAAAAGATGTGAGTAACATGACAGAAAGGATAGACTATGAAACTAACAAAGAGAATACACACGGATAAGTATCAGGTAAGCCTACAAAGGGATCTGGACAGGCTGCAAGACTGGTCTGACAAATGGCCCCTGGCATTTAACCCTGCCAACTGCAAAGTCATGAAGCTTGGGGAAGGACAAAGAAGACTTCAGATGGAGTACAGGTTAGGGAGTTAAAGGCAGCAAAACTCATTCAGGGAAAAGGATCTTGGGATGACCATCATACTAAGCACATCTCCTGAGGTGCCCCTGGCAAACTTGAAAATAGCATTTTGACATCTAAGTAAGGAGACATTCATGACAGTGTACACCATGTATGTCAGGCCCAAATTGGAGTATACAGCACCAGCATGGAACCCACACCAGGTGTAAAAGTTGGCAACAAACTAATCTCAGAGCTAAGGGGACAGGAGAGATAGGGAAGGACATGATAACAACATATAAAATCCTGAAAAGAAATGGCAAGGTGAACAGTGCCAGAATGTTTCTGAGATGGGACACTGGAACAAGGGGACACAACTGGAATTTGAAAACTGAGATGAGTCATAGGGATGTTAGGAAGTATTTCTTCAACCTTAGAGATGTCAGCATGTAGAACAATCTGGAGAGTGAAGTAGTTTAGGCAGGATCCATACACAGCTTTAAGAAAAGGTACAATAAGGCTCTTGAATCAGGAAGTGTGTGGATCTAGAAGTGACTAGTGAAGAGCCAGGGCCAAGAGCTGTGAATCAACCATACAAGGAACAAAGAAAAAACACTTGGGATTTTAAATCTCTGTTCAAAATTGGAAAATTATATATTCATGTCTACACACACAACACAACAAAGCTGTCAGAAGATTAACAGAGTTTTGATCCACAAGTGCACATATGAACAGTGGCATATAATAATAATAATAATATTATAATATAATATTAAAATAATAATTTAAAGAATAAGAGTAAGATGGAGAATAGGATAGCAGATGAACAAGAGGCTTTAGGAAAGTAGGGGGTGTGTGGACAGGTGTTTACAGTGAAACATATTAGTGAACAGTATTTAGATAAGGCTAAGAGGTTTTTGTGGCCACTTTAGGATTGGAAAAGGGAAGGAGTATGACAGGGTGGATAGGGGCAATTGGAGATGTTGCAGGTGTATGGTATAGGAGTAGGTTACTGAAAGCAGTGAAGAGTTTTACGAGGATAGGAGGATCAAAGTTGTGCTATGTAGGAAAGAGGAGATTATTTCCCAGTAAAAGTATGCCTTTGACAAGAAGTGTTGATGTCACCGTGGTTGTTTAATATATATTGGGATGGGGTTGTAAGTGAAGTTAAATGCGAGGGGTCTGGCAAGAGGCGTGGAGTTAAAGATAAGAATCACACAAAGTGGGAGTTGTCACAGTGGCTTTTTGTGCTGACACTGTGCCCCCTTGGGAGATTCTGAAGAGAAGTCGCGAGGTTGGTGATGAATTTTGATAGGGTATGGAAAAGAATAAGTAAAAGTGGAATACAGGAAAGAGTTAGAGTTATTGAGGATACAAAATGATAGGTGATGAAAGATTGGATATCAGATTGGAGGTAGAGGAGTCTGGAGGAGGTGAATGTATTCCGATATTGGAAGGTGGACGTGTCAGCGGATGGGTCTATGAATGTTGAGGTGACATCACAGATATTGATGAGGGGAAATAGGACGTGAGCGGTGAACTTAGGAGTCTATGGAGACAAGAACTTTGTCCTTGGAAGCAAAGAAGGGAATGTTGAAAGTATAGTTTTACCAACGCTCATTATATGGGTGTGAAGGCATGGGTGATGAATGTTGAAGGGAGGAGGAGGCTGGAGGCAGTGGGAGATGTCATGTCTGAGGGCATGTGTGGTGTGAGATAGCTGAGAATTCGTAGTTTGGAAGTTAGGAGGAGGTGCGGGATTGCTCCAAATCTGTTGTCCAGAGGCTGAGAAGGTTGTGGTGGTTGGTTCGGACATGTAGAGAGATTGGATCAAAACAGAACTTACTTCAAAGAGTGTATCAATCTGGTGTGGAGGAAGAGCGTGGTAGGGGGCACAGCCTAGGAACGGTTGGAGGGAGGGGGTAAAGGAAGTTTTGTGTGCGAGGGGCTTGGATTTCCAGCAAGCATGTTTGACAGGAGTGAATGGAGACAAATGGTTTTTAATACTTGATGTGCTGTTGGAGTGTGAGCAAAGTAACACTTATGAAGGGATTCAGGGAAACCGGCAGGCGATGAGATCCTGGAGATGGGAAATTACAGTGCCTGCACTTGAAGGAGGGGTGTTAATGTTGCAGTTTTATAAACTGTAGTGTAAAGCACCCCTCTGGCAAGACAGTGATGGAGTGAATGATGGTGAAAGTTTTCCTTTTTCAGGCCACCCTGCCTTGGTGGGAATCAGCCAGTATGTTAATAAAATAAAAAAAAAATAATAATAATAATACCCTACATATAACTTACAGCTTGCACAGGTTTCAATTTAAAATTACGAATCTTCTTGAGGAAGTAGAGTCTAGCGAGAGTGGGCACAATGTCAGCAATGAGGGGAGCCTCACACTGATGTCGCAGAAACATATCTAACCTCAGCACGTCTCCAGAAGTCAGGTGTAAATCCAGTTCACAGATGCTGGGCTCTAAGATGACAGAAGAATAACAGTTTACAGTATGCAAATAACATTATACAGATGTTCCTGGCTTTATGCACTACATGTATTTATGACCAATAATACCTGTATTAAGCTCAATCAAACTATCAACATTTAATTCCACATAATAAAAATCTGTAATACATACTTGAATGAACTGCAGTGATCATATGCACTGAATGTATATCATACATATTGTACATAATCATCAATAGAACTTGGATATAACTTAACAGTGAATTAGCTAAATTAAGGGAAATAGCTGAACAAAATATAGTTTAGATTGATTATATCATTATTAAAAATTTAGTATGATAATGGTAGGCTAGGCACACGACACTTTTAAGCTTCTTATGATAAAAGTGAAGTATGAAAATTAATATTTATTTTTGTTGATTCATAGTTCAATGAAATCTTGATTTTATGCTGAAAAATTACAGCCTGCTCTAAATTTTTTTTCGACAAACCAGCCATATCCCACCAAGGCAGGGTGGCTCAAAAATAAAAACTGCATGTACTGTATTTTGGTCACTGTGTGATCCAATAAAGGTATCCTAGTACTGCATGACCCCAGTCACCAATGCATCAATGTACATGACTGAAATTATGCAGCCTGCAACATAATTTCATAATGCAGTTAAATATTATCTTTTAAGATCTCTGAAGGGAAGAATAAGAGGCAATCACAAGTCATCCTAAGGAAACTAATATGTGTACAATTTTTTCAATAATACAGTGGACCCCCGGATTATGTAATTAATCCATTCAGAGAGAGTGACTTATCCCGAATCTGACTCATTCTGAATTAATTTTCCCCATAAGAAATAATGGAAATCCAATTAATCCGTTTCAGACACCCAAAAGTGTTAAAAAAAAAATGTTTTCTACATGAAATATACATTTACCTACACAGAAAACAAGGATACATGAAGAATAAAACAATAATAACATCACACTTACCTTTATTGAAGACATGGCGATGTATGGAAGACGGGAAGAGGGGAGAGGCTGGAGAAATTTACAAATGTTTGGAAGGGGAATCCCCTTCAATAAAGACTTCAGGTACCAAGTCCTTATCCAGGGTTACGTTCCTTCTTCGTATTTTAATGCCACTTGGACCAGCCTGAGAGCCACTGGACCCCTGTCACTCAAAAAAGTGTTCCAGAGAGGTCTGTTTCTGGCATATGTTAGGAATTGTGTTGGAAGACAGGACAAGGTAGTCCTTCAGGGAGGGGTGAGCCTTTTTTCTGTGATCAGGAAATTAAAATTGAAAAATTATGGAAAAAAAATTTTCTTACTGAAAAATAGTGCAAAAATCTGGCAACATTTTGATGTAATCAGCTTGTTTCTATCATATTTCTAAGTAAGCTTTTCATTAAATGTAATTTTTTTGTTCCTGTTGTCATCAAAAATTTCTATGATTGTTTTATTTATTTATTTATTTATTAACAATTTGAGCATACATACAGAGGTACAAAAAAATACAGATAAGAGCAGCATGCCAAAGCCACTTACACTATGCATAGCATTACGGGCTGGCTTAAAATTAACTTAAGATTAACTAAGCAATGATGAAATCAGTGATAAAACATTATTGTAAACAGATAACTATAAAGCACAAATGAGTATTACAAAGACAGGTCATATGGTTGCATGCATTGTTGTACATTCAGTAGAATGGAGTATTCTGTTAGGTAGTGTATTTAAAAAATAATAAAGTTAGATTGGGTTTTTTGGTTTAACTTTATGTGATATAATTGTGAGAAACATTTAAGATATACAATTTATAAGGTTCAGTTATTCAGTATTTATTTGGTTTTGGGTGAGTAAAGTGATCTTTGAGAAAAGACTTGGAAATTTTTAAACAGGTAGTGTTTCTTTTTATATTTACAGGTAATGAGTTCCAGATTTTAGGGCCTTTTATGTGCATTGAGTTTTTGCATAGTGTGAGATGGACACGAGGAACATCAAAGAGTTATCTGTGCCCTTTTGTTATGGTCATGTGTTCTGTTGAGGTTGGCAAGGAGATGTTTGAGGGGAGGGTTAATATCAGAGTTAAGTGTTCTATGTATGTAATAGGTGCAGTAATAAGTATGGATGTTTTGTATGGTGAGTAGGTTTAGTGTATTGAAAATTGGTGGAGTGTGCTTGCCTGATGTGAGAATTTGTTATCATTCTAACTGCAGCCTTTTGTTGGGTAATTAGTGGTCTGAGTGGTTAATTGTTGTTGGCCCCTGCACAAATTCCCAATAGGTGGACATAGGGGAAAAAATAAGAGAGTGATATAGGGCCAGGAGGGCTGACTGTGGAGCATAGTCCCGTATCTTCGATAGTATGCCTACAGTCTTGGAAATTTTCTTAGAAATTTGTTGTATATGTGTATGAAATTTGAGTTATATCAAGGTGGTTTCCCTAAGAATTTTCCCTCTGTTAGTTTTGTGTAGGTGATCCGTTTATCATTATGTTAAGAGGGACATCTGTAGCTCTGTTACCAAACGGAATGAAGTAGGTTTTGTCAATGTTTAGTGTAATTTTGTTAGCCCTCATCCAGGTAGATATTTTCTGTAATTCGGTATTTTACGTACTGGCTAGCGTGACTGGGCTCGGGTGGGAGAAGAGTATGTAATCATTCTGCAAATAGTGTGGGGTTTGAGTAATTGCGAAGCATTTGGTAGGTCATTTATGTATAGGAGAAAGAAAAGGGAGGGCCAAGGACACTTCCCGTGGGACCCCAACTGAAATTTGGGTTGTGCAGAGGAGTTTGCCCATTTGCGTACACACATTGGCTTCTGTTGCTGAGGTATGACTTGAGGTAGTTGAGGGAGTGCCCTCTTATACCTTTAGTGTCACAATTTTATGTGGAGCAAGTCCATGGTCAACTGTATCAAAAGCTTTATGTAAGTCAATGAAGATCCCCAGTGGGACTTCTTTTTCTCTATTGCGTGTATATATGTTCTAGCATGTGTATAATAGCATCATTAGTATTTTTATTAGGCCCGAATCCAAATTGGCAGGGGTTGAGTATGTTTTGGGAGATAAGGTAGGAGTAGATTCATTTATGAATTTAAATTTTTCGAAGATTTTTGAGAGAGGGTGTAAATTGGATATTGGCCTATAGTTATTCAAATCTGTTTGGTCTCCTCCTTTGTGGATCGGGGTGACCCTTGCTATTTTGAGAACTGTAGGGAAGGTGAAGGATTCAATGGATTTGTTAAAAAGTGTTGCAGTGATTGGTGGGTAGCACTTTTGACACTTTTTTGTATATAAAGGGTGGTAAGGTATTTAAATCTCCTGCCTTGTTTTTTAGTGCATTGATAATAAGGGAGACTTCGTATGGGTTAGTCGGAGCTAGGAACAGTGTGTTCGGGTAGTTGCCGGTGAGGTAGTCATTTGGTGGGGTATCTGAGCTTGGGATTTTATTGGCAAGGTTTTGTCCTATAGTGGAGAAGAAATCATTGAGTCTGTTTGCTGTTTCTGTTGGTGGGAGTTGGGGTTCATCTGTTTTGTTAATTTTATTTCGCTATTTCGTGATATCTTTTTGTTCCAGAATTTCTTATAGGGTTTTCCAGGTCTTTTTTATATCACCTCGTAGTTGGATAATCTGTTCTCATAATACAATTTTTTGCCCTTCTTATCAGGCTGGTTAGGATTGACGAGTAATGTTTTGTTTGGTCTCTGGTTATGTGGCCCCATTCTGTACTGTTTTTCATATTGGTGTTTTGTATTTATGGTTTTTGAGAATGCTGGGTGTTAGCAGGGACTGTTCAGTCTCTTAGCTGTCATCTGTTTAGTTTTTTTTTGGGCAGTGCTTGTTATAGAGGTATTGGGTCTTTTTTTAGAAAATTATTAATACATTCGTCAATATCTGTATAGATTTCTAGCTCAGTGTGCAGTCAATGTTTGCTACTGCTGTTGTGAAGTTATTAATGGCTGCCTCATTGTGAAGTCTGAAGGTGACTTTAGTAGTGTCTTGGGGTAGTTTACCAAGAGTTGTTATGAGAAAAGTAGGGTAGTGGTCTGTGGTATTATCTGTAATTATGCCTGATTTTAAAGGGGATATGGTGTTGGTCCAGATGTGGTCAAGTAGGGAAACACTAGTCTCTGTAACTCTTGTAGGTTTTGTTACTGTTGGTAGCAACATACAGTTACTCATTGTGTTTGTGAATTCAGTGGGTCCTGGTCTTGCAGGAGATTTATATTAAAGTCACCTGAGAGTAGTAAGTGATCTTTGTTCATGCGTGCATCAGTTATCATACTTCCTAGGTTTTGACTAAATTGGCTAATGTTTGACTGTGGAACTCTGTAGATGTTTATCAATGTGAGAGGTTTTTGTAGGTATTTGGATTTGGTTTCATTCTAAATACCTGCTGTCATCAAAAATTTCTATGATTGTTTCATTCTAATACTCTACATGGCAACTTCTGTGCTGGCTAAAGTGTAGAACACAGTGTGTCCCTTAGTAGCCTACAGGCTGTCAACAAGGAAGGAAGAGTGCAGCACGCTCAGATTTGGCATGTCGTAACCGTAGAGTTTCACACCAAACAAAATAAGTAATAACTCAGAAATAAGTTATTGACATTGTTTTCCTTCCTGCGATAAGTAGTAATAGGATTGTCATGATTTTTGCAAACGTTATTGAGGAATGATGGTTCTACATACACCCAGGGTGGATTTGTGATACTGTTTACAGCTTTCTTTGTAATGATTTTTTTTCCACAAAAAAAAAAATGAAATAAAAATTACTAACTTCAACATTTTTTTTTATTGGAATATACTGACATTATCACTTAAACACCCTGGGTCAACAATAATCTAGCCTTTATCTTTCATCTGATGTCAACTAGAGCATTGTATATCTTCCCAATTTAGTAGAAAAAGAAAAGTTTAATGACCCATAAAATTGTGCACAATTTATTTTTTTTTATCTAACTTGAAGGCTAACAGTCAAAACAAACACATCCTATACTTTTTTATGCTGCTTAATCAAC